ACCACTACTGTCTTGTTTTGGTGAGGTGAAGAACTGGATGTCTCTAAATCTTTTAAAATTAAATGATGCTAAGACTGAGGTGGTAGTGCTTAGCCCGAGCAACGTTAGTGAGCTCCCCCTAATGGACTTGGGCTGTTTGATGCAGTACGTGCAGCCAGTTGTTACTAGCCTAGGGGTCAAAGTTGACTCGGGTCTTAAGTTGGAAAGCCAAGTAAGTGCGGTGGTAAAGGCTAGTTTTTTTCCACCTGCGACGGCTGGCAAAAATAAAACCATTCCTTCCAATTAAACACAGCAATACATGCATTTATAACATCTCGCTTAGATTATTGTAACTCGCTTTATTTTGGGGTTAATCAGGGGTCTCTTGATCGCTTACAGAAAATTCAGAATGCGCCTGCTCGGCTGCTGGTTGGTGGGAGAAAAAGGGAGCATATAACGCCCGTTTTGGCTTCTCTGCACTGGTTACCAGTGCATCTTAGAATTCATTTTAAGATTCTTTTATTTGTATATAAGGCTGTAAATGGACTGGCACCACCTTACGTGTCAGAGCTACTGCACCCCTATTGTCCTTTGAGGCACCTCAGATCAGCTGATCAGCTGCTCTTGGAGGTTCTGCAAATGAGGTGAAGACTTAGGGGGGACAGAGCGTTTGCGGCAGGGGCCCCTAAACTGTGGAATGCATTGCCTCTCCACATTAGGCAGGCTGTTATTGCTTGTGTACTTTATTCTGTTGTTTTTATGTGGTTTGCTTTTAATACGGTTGTGATGTGTCACTGTGTTAAGCACTTTGGGCAGCTATGGCTGGGGTAAATGTGCTATATAAATAAAGAGTTGATGATGATGATGATGATGATGAAAAAGTGAACGCCACACAAGGGTTAAATACACTTTACATTGGCAAAATTAAAAACCATGTGCTTCCATCTCTGTAATCCTGTGGTTGTGACAGAGGGTCCAGTTCACCAAATCTGCTTGGCAACAGGCCCGGTCCTCACACATGTAGAAGAAAAAGATTTTTTTTATTTCGGGTTTTCTGAATTCTGAAGTGAAATTTTGATTCTCTATTGCCACCTCATGATAGATTTGTGTTTTGCACCATTGTAGCTATAGTACAAGTGGTGGCCCTAACAAAGAAGTCACAGAACATGGGCCACACAAAGGCATATAGACATGTATATGTGTGTGGGTATATATATATACAGTACATACACACGCATACATATATATATATACATACACACACATACATACACACGCATACACACACACACAGTCCTGATCTTGAAGGACCCTCAGAAGGGAGCAGTACCATCCAACTACCACCCAATAACCTGCCTCTGCACAACATGGAAGCTCCTGTCAGGCATCATAGCAGCTAAGATGAGCAGGCACATGGCTCAATACATGAGCAGCGCCCAGAAAGGAATTGGTAGTAACACCGGAGGAGCAAAGCACCAGCTATTGGCCGTTCTGTGTTTGTCTTTTAGGATCACGTTGAATCCCACTTCATTTTAATGCGCAGGGCATTCTGCAAGTTTTTATGCGTCACTCGGTTTCTCTCCTGCGTCTTTATGGCATTCATTGATGAGAAAGCTGCCTCACAGGTGTAGGTGGAAGGAAACATAATAAGCACATAAAAAGAAAGCTTCTTGAGTGTGCTGTAATCCTCAGAGCACGCGAGCAAGAATG